TGAACTGTAACAAGCACCCTGATGTCATTCGGCAAAGAGTTCCACCAAGTCAGAGCCAGGGCCAAAAAACCCTGGCTCTAGTTGAGGACAGCTGGGTGCTTTTGGGGCCATGGATTTCCAGCAGATGTTGTTCTCCTGAGTGCAGCACTCGTCAGGTGGCATACCAGGAGAGGCGGTCCTGCAGGTACGTTGGTCCCTGCCCATTTAGGTCCTTGAAGGTCAAAACCAGAACCTTGAACCTGACTCGGTACTCAATCTGGAGCCAGTGCAACTGGCGGAGCACAGGTTGAATGTTAACGGTGTCCCCAGACGCAGGCCGCTGCATCGACTGGTTGTAATTTCTGGATCAGTCTCAAGGACAGTGCTGTGTAGAGTGAGTTACAGTAATCAAGCCTAGGGGTGACCAGTGTTCCCTCTAAGCTGAGTTAGTGTGAGCTAGCTCACAGTTTTTTAGCCTCCGGCTCACACATTTTTGTCTCAGCTCAGGAAGGAGGGCTCCAAAGCAAGCTAATTTATGCAGCAGCCAAATTACCTGCTCACAACTTTAATGCCGGTAGCTCACAAAGTAGAATTTTTGCTCACAGGACTCTACAGCTTAGAGGGAACATTGGGGGTGACCGTTGCTTGGATTACGATGGCCAGTTCAGGGCGAGAGGTAGGGGGCCAGTTGCTGGACCTGGCGTAGCTGGCAAAATGCCAGTCTGATAACACGTGTGATCTGGGCCTCCCTTGATAAGGAGGCATCCTGAAACACACCCAAGCGCTGAACCATCTCCATCAGTGTTAATGGTGCATGGTTGGGAGTTGGCGCCCAAGTCCCGAATCTTCCCCACCCAGCCAGAGAACCTCAGTCTCAGCTGGCTGTCAGGGTCCTTAGGCAGGTCACACCACACAGGGCTTCATAAGAAGGTAACTGTTTATTGGTAATTTCCAGTACTAAAGACACGTGTACAGCTTGTGTCAGGAATGGCCGTCAACACTAAGGCCTCTGACTTATACTAAAATCAAACATTCCTTAGAGGTCTCCCATCCAAATACTAGCCAGGGCCGATCCTGCTTAGCTTCTGAGATCGGACAAGACCAGGCTAGCCTGGGCGATCCAAGTCAGGGCGATGGTTTCTTAGGAGACAATAAATGGATTGTGTTTGTGTACGCGGCCTCTGGAGTAACCCCGTCTTCTGTGAGGATAGATGAATGTAATGGATTTGCCATTGATTTGCCATTGAATGAATTTACATGGGGGGGCCCCTCCTGTTCTAAGCAGGGGCCTCAGTCACTGATCACCGCCGAGGTCCTCGCTCCTCTACATCGGCTCTGCTTCAGCCACCTCACCACGGCCTCCAAACCCTTAGCCAGATTTCCTGGGGCGCTCCCTCTACGCTGTGGAGTCTTGTGAGCAAAAATTCTGCTTTGTGAGCTACTGGCTCAAAGTTGTGAGTGAGCGATCTGCCTGCTCCTGAAATTAGCCATCCTTCCTAAGCTAAGACAAAAGTGTGTGAGCTGGAGGCTAAAAAACTGTGAGCTAGTTCACACTAACTCAGCTTAGAGGGAACACTGGTGGTGTTCGGCCGGCCAGCCATTAGCAGAGACAGCTGGGTATCATCAGCGTACTGATGGCACCCTAGCCCAAAACTCTGCACCATCTGGGCGAGAGGGCACATGTAGATGTTAAATGACATCGGGGAGAGGACAACCCCCTGAGGGACCCCACTTACCACGGGGTATCGGGAGACCCTCTCTCCCAGCGCCCCTCTCTGTCCCCAGCCATGGAGAAATGAGACAACCTACTTCAGGGCTTCCCACGCACTCCGATGTGGGATGAGCTTCCACAGGTATCTGAAGAAGTGAGGGGTGACTCACGAAAGCTCCTCCCCTGCCACAAATTTTGTTAGTCTTTAAGGTGCTCCTGGACTCTTGCTCTTTTGTATTATGGTCAGAGTCGGCTTCCTGAACGACAGGGTGAGTTGACCGAAATGGGGGTCCTCGGGCATCTGAGAGCAGGGCCCCCCGACCCAGAGCCACTGTGGCGTAGTGGTTAAAAATGGCTGACCCTAATCTAGGAGAACCGGGTTTGATTCCCCACTCCTCCACATGAAACCAGCTGGGTGACCTTGGGTCAGTCACAAATTCTCTCAGAGCTGTTCTCTCAAGGGCAGTCCTCAAAAGAGCTCTCTCGGCCCCACCTACCTCACAGGGTGTCTGTTGTGCGGAGGGGAAGGGAAAAGAGATTGTAAGCTGCTGTGAGACTCTGAGTGAAGGGCGGGGTCTAAATCTAGTCTCCTTCTCTATCTCCTTCACCTTCTCCTCCTTTTTGAGCCTGCAGGCACCTTTGGAATTCTGACACAGTATGGTAGGCACAGCCACAAAATGGCTGCCAACAGAGGCACAGCCAGACACAAAATGGTTGCTGCAGTCACACAGTGTGGATCCTGGTGCGGCGGTGGCAGCTACTGCCAAAGCTATGTTTTTAAAAACTTGCACAGTCCATCAAATCTCCAGTGGCCAATCAGAAGCCTTGTTGGTCAGAAGCTCCACCTGGCCCTGCACAGTTTCTAAAAACACTTGGTGGGCACCAGCATTTTTCGACTGCGTGGGCGATCTCCGGCTTTTTTTATTATTATCATTTAAATTTTTATTGATTTTAACGTGTTTTAACGTTATAGCACTATAACACAGCAGCATTATATCAACCCCATTGAAATGCCTAGGGCACCCTGCTGGGCAGCCCTGCCTAAGGGAGTAACGGGACAGTTTCTTCTAGCAGAAACTTTTGAGTCAGAGCTGTTTTCATCAGATGCAAGAAGGGAGTTGAGGTGGCCTGGGCAGCTAGACTGGGTAGCGGGCACCGCACCAGGGGGCAAGGGGAGAGGGCTCTGCCAGGTGGCAGACTGATGAAGAGAAAATTGCCAACTGATGAGAGAAAAGGACCCACCTTGTTTTGCTCACGTGTTTCTAATGTCAACGGAACCTGCACAGATTAGCAGATAAAACGTGTCACGGCACGGAGGTGAGCGTCACCTGACGATTTCTGCAAATCACGTTGCGGTTAAGGCGGAGCTACCAGGGCTGGCTGAAAATCTGGCAGTCCTAATGGGGGAACGGGGGATGGGCAGATCTGGCCTCTACCCAGGGACCCCATCCACCAGGAAGTGGGAGGGGCTTCTGGTGGCCTGGCCCCACTGATGGACCTCCTGATGGCTTCTGGTATTTTTGGCCACTGTGTGACAGAGTGTTGGACTAGGTGGGCCATTGGCCTGATCCAACCTTGGCTTCTCTTGTCCTCCTGCGTGTTCTTTGCACCAGTTCCTATTCATTTGGACTGGGCTTCCATGGGAGGACTTCTCAGTGGATCGTGCCCGTGTTACTTAGCGCGTGGGCAAGGGGGATCCAGGAGAACTGTATACTGTGGGCACCAAAATGTCTTTGGGCAGCTCTTTGCACTGAGAGGTAGTGCAAGTTGGATACCCGGAGAATAAATACCCCGGAGAATTAATCTCCATGTGATGTGTGGGTGCGTGCCAAGCAGTGTTTTAACAATAAAGTACAAAAAGCACATCGACGTGTCTAATTTACTGTCCTAAGCTTTCTAGATCATCCCTCTCAAACTCATATCAAAGTGAATGAATATGTATCAAAGATGCTTGACAATTCAAAGCTGCATCGAGTCCATCTCAAAATAATATCACAGAACGTCCTTAGAAGTCCTCTGTAGTGAAAATTAACGTGCGTGACAACCCAGACCTCTTCAGGTTCTCTCCAGTGCTCCCTCTAAGCTGAGTTCGTGTGAGCTAGCTGACGGTTTTTTAGCTTCCGGTTCACACATTTTTGTCTCTGCTCAGGAAGGAGGGGCTCCAGAGCAAACGAATTTATGCAGTAGCCAAATCGCTCGCTCATAACTTTAATGCCAGGAGCTCACAAAGTTGAATCTTTGCTGACGAGACTCCACGGCTGAGAGGGAGCGCTGGTGCCAACTGTTCATGGAGTTCCTGGGGTTGCCACCCTGGCAGGGTGTTTCTGTGGGTCAGATGGTACCCCGGGATGTTTGCGTAGTGAGGAAGCAGAGACGGAGCAGCCAGGGCTGTGCAGGGGCCACTGTGAGGGGAATATCATGACTGGAAGCCTGCTTTGTGCCCTCGGGAGGGCTTCAGACACCCCCGTACTGCGTTCCTGAAGCGGTTTCCATGACATCTGTCTCTGAGTGTGGAAATCTTACAAACCCAAGTTGATAGGCAGGCATTTAACTTTGGGCCGGCCTGATCATTAAAGGGTTGCGGCACTGCAGCCGAACAGAATTGTTGTTTAAGGCTGCCGCCTCAGGGCTCCAGGATTTCTCAGTCATCCATCTTTATTTACTTACTTCATTTATACCCTGCTGTTTCTCCCCAGTGGGGACCCGAAACAGCTTGCATCATTCTCTTCCCCTCCTTTCATTCCCACAACAAACCTGTGAGGTAGTTTAGGTTTAGGGTGTGACTGGCCCAAGGCCACCCAGCAAGCTCCCATGGCAGAGTGCGGGATTTGAACCTGGGTCTCCTGGATCCTAGACGGACACTCTAAATGTTATGGGCATGCTCCAGATTCCGTGCTTGCTCTTCCCAACAGAAAGAGGCCCCCACATTTCTGTCATTTTGCATAAGCTGCAAAACAAATGTTCAGGAATCATGGAATCATAGAGTTGGAAGGGACCTTCAGGGTCATCTAGTCCAACCAGTCTAGGAATCAGAAGTGTAGTGCAGTGGAACAGCTTGGGGGGGGGTTTGCAATGTTTGTACATATGTATCACCTCCCTTTTACTGATCAAAGACGGATAGCCGTGTTAGTCTGTCTGTAGTAGAAAAGAGCAAGAGACCAGCAGCACCTGAAAGACTAACCAAAATTTGAGGCAGGGGAGGAGCTTTCCTGAGTCACTGCTCACTTTTTCAGATGCCTTTTACTGCACAAGGGCCCCGGTCACACGGAAGGTTTTGGGCCGGGAGAGGGACGGATTGGGGGCGCAGCAAACGGGCGCGATCTCACCGCAACATCTGGGAAGCGGCACGCACCCGTCCCCATCCGGCCCTTCCGGCCAAAAACCCGCTGCAAAAAAGAACCACCCCTAGAGGTGGACTTACCAGAAAGGCCGCGGCAAGCGCGGCTGTGGGATCGCCAGAGCGTCCTTCTGCCGGCGCTTCCGAGGCTCCTGCGCAGTTCGGCTGGCTCCCTCCCTCTTCAGTGGCTTCCCCCCCGGCATCTGATCGTGCCGGGGAGGAAGTGCGTGGTGGCTCAGGGGATCTATGTGATCCCGCCGCCGCGTGTCTTTTTTGGTGCGGCTTTAAAAAGCCGCACTTTGCCCGTGTTTCTTCCCCCCGTGTGACAGGGGTCTATCTTCTGCTTTTGTAGTCTGCTTTCTCCGTGTGGTATGTCGTGTCTTAGGCCAGGGGTCCCCAGTGTGGTGCTTGTGGGTGCCACCGATACCCTGCCCACCAAATGTTTTCAGAAAGTGGCTTTTACCCACAAGGCTTCTTATTGGCCACTGGGGATTTGGTTGGCTGTGCAGATTTTTAAAACTACTGCATCGACGGCAGCTGCCACCACAGCACAAAGATCGTCACGGTGTGACTGAAAATATGCCACAACAGACTTTCTGTGGCTGGCTCCGCCTCCTGGGGCCGCCATTTTGTGGATGTGCCCACTGCACTGTGTCGGAATTCCAAAGGTACCCACAGGCTCAAAAAGCTTGGGCAGAGGTTTGTTTGCATTGTTTCCCAGATCTGCGGTCCGCGTCCTCCCGTATTGTTTGTTGGAGGTCTTTTGCTGGGTGTTTGAACTGATTTTTATATTTAGTCATCCGTATTGTGTACCAGTGAGAAAAGCAGTTTATAAATGAAGTAAATAAAATAAAAGGAACATACATAAAGTAGATGGGTGAGACTGGGGGCTTCCTCCGTCGCCAAATCCTTGTCCCAGGCCCTGGGGAAATTATCTGTAAACTACCATCCCCAGCCGTGCAACGAGGTCATGGCTGTATTTGCTCAGTGAGATAGGGGGGAAAAATGTCATACATTTTATCTGCTTAGAAAGCAAACCTAATGGTCTCCTCTTCGCTGAATAGTAGGGTTGCCAAGTCAAAAATCGTCGGGTGCGGGGGACTCCTGTCCGGCTTCCTGTGCACACACGCACACCGCATACACATCACCAGGAAGTGATGTTATGAATAGGGGGGAAAAATGTCATACATTTTATCTGCTTAGAAAGCAAACCTAATGGTCTCCTCTTCGCTGAATAGTAGGGTTGCCAAGTCAAAAATCGTCGGGTGCGGGGGACTCCTGTCCGGCTTCCTGTGCACACACGCACACCGCATACACATCACCAGGAAGTGATGTTATGATGTCGGATACGCTGGGGGCGGGGCCACGACCATCCGAGGGGAAAACAGAGTTTTCCCCTCTGATGGTCGTGGCCCCGCCCCCAGTGTGCCTGGCGTCATAATATCACTTCCTGGTGACGCGCACGCCGATGGCGGGAATCGGGCCTCTGGGGCGGGGTTTTTCCCGCCCCCCGGGGGGACTTGGCAGCCCTACTGATCTCAGTACCAGAATAATTGGAGTGAATATGGCCATACCTATGGCCCATCATTAATACCAGCAACACAATTGCCAACATATAAGGATACAACATCTGGTCTTTAAATCAGTGTACTAAAGATCTTGTATACATATGTATATGTATGTTTGAATGTGTGAATGTGTGTCTATACTATGTTGTATAGTGACCACTGAGGAAGGTCCTTTGAGGCCGAAACGCGTTTGGTCTTCAGTTGGAAAGTGTTGACCCATCATGTGTATTAATATATATATAT